ATAGAGATGTGTTTTTACTATATATATATATATATATATATATATATATATATATATATATATATATATATATATTCTGTAACAAGTGACGGATAGATTTGTTCTTATCATAGAACAGCAGCATATTTTTCAATTCTTAATGAAATCGTGACAATTTTACTTTTAATTAAAGGAAATTTTTACGACTCTTTGACAAATGCAATTTTAGAAACATTGAATCATTTGGGACTTTTGCTAAGTAACATTCATGAAATGTTTCATTTTGCAGTCGGTCGCGGGTAAAAGCGAAATTGCGGATAATGTGTCTTGTAATAAAAAGCTAGAGTAAGGTGAAAAAATAATAGGCCTATATCTGTTGGTCAATATTCCTCCTAAAATCACGCTGTTTGGATATTTCGTCTGCGAGAGCGGCCGAATAAAAACACATTTGGATGATCTCTCGGGGGAAAAATGGATGTTTCTTGTTTGCTCCATATCTTCCTTCAAGTAACATGCGACATGTTCTACTGGCTTATATGCTAGCAACGGCAAAGGATGGTCTTTGCCCTGCTAAAATAAGGGTGTTTTATGGACACGTGGCTGAGTGGTTGGAACATTCTTATTTTGACCATGAGACCTGGGTTCAAATCTCATCATGGTCGATTTGTCAGGAAGGAAACTTTCTGATGTTATCCGACCGAAGGGGGTCGATCCCAGCGTGCAACACCTTTGGAAAGTACCTGAAAAACATACCATGGGTTGACCCAAGCGTTGTAAATGAAATTGGGTAGAAGGAACCCTTGGGTGCCGTCGATAGCTGTGCTAGCATGAAGTCAGAAATCATCGTGGCTGAGGGCTTGAGCGCGTTGGCCTTGTTCAAATTGTTGATCACGCTAGATAACACTTTCTTTCCCAGAATCTGTAACTAAGGTCTGCTAAGTATTTAATTTTTTATTTATCAGTATTTTTATTCTTTGTTTAACAGTTTTTTTTTATTTTTTATCAATCAGTATTTTTTATTTTTCGTTAATCAGTTTTTATTTTCATTTTTTTTCTTTATCAGTATTTTTTTATTAGTTTTATTTTCATTTTTTATACTTATTTATCAGTATTTTTATTCTTTGTCTATCATTTTTTTTTTATATATGTTTTTTTACACACACACACACACACACACACATATATATATATATATATATATATATATATATATATATATATATATATATATATATAAATAGATAATATTAGTGGAAAATATACATACATATGCAAAATATATAAATACCCATACATGTATATTTTTATAAAAAAATGCAAGAGGAAGAATCCAGGTAGAACTCAATGTCTAGGACAGAGTAAGAATATAATAAAAAAGGCTTAAACACTAATATTCCATGGTCATAATTTATTCCATTGGAATCGTAAATACGATCAATTCATCAGACCTACAAATTCAAAAAGAGGTCTGATGAATTGGATATTTACGATTCCAATGGAATAAATTATGACCATGGAATATTAGTGTTTAAGCTTTTTTTATTATATATATATATATATATATATATATATATATATATATATATATATATATATAACTAGACTCGTTTCTAAAACCCTCGAAATTTTGATTTGCTAATCAAATCAATCTCGAGGGAAAAAAGGTTTTAAAAAAGAAAGAGCTACAAACATGAACTTCTGCCGACAAAAATCGCACAGATGCAGGTCTGAAGCCCAAAGAAAAAACCCCTGACGCCAAACTTTCCTGACGATCCATTTAGGTGAAACCTAGGTAGGTTTGTCTGGCTCACTAGGTGTATATATATATATATATATATATATATATATATATATGCTTTTACTACATATATATAGATGTTTTTACATTTATAATTTTTTTTTATTTTTATTTTACTTCATATTAGATGAATTGCAACAGTTTCTTATATAATATAAAAAAGTAAAGAAAAGAAAATGGATATTCCACCATTTGTCAAAATCCTACAACTGATTTGTTAGTCGTGTCTTCAGACCAATGCTATAAGTACGGTACGTTTATTGTATCGGAATATCTTTTTCATCTTAAGAAATTCTTGTGACGACCGAAGATTACTGTTGGCGTTATTGATCTTTGCTGAATTGTATGCATGCCTTTCTCTCGACTCTCGAGTGATTCTCCTACCCAGATATCGACTAATGAGCAGGATAAATAATAACTATTGGACACCTTCGCAGTTTCTATATATCATGATCTTTGGCGTATCACTTTGTCAATACGCCAATAGCATAAAGGATGTCTGCAGTGAAAGTAAAATCGGCGAGCCGAGTTCAAATTCCGGTCTTGTCATTTATGTCAACCTTCGCACTAATACTCTCAGGAAAGACATGACTAAGTCTTTTCTTTCACCAGCTATAGGCTACATATTTTAAATAGCCGAGTAGACGTGGTTATCCAGCCTTGTGTATGTCAAAGAGAAGCAATATTCTGAATTCCGAACCGTAGAGACGACAACGGGAAACCACTCTCCCCATCTTCCCTAAGAATGTGTAGTTAACGAAGTTAGAAACAAAGAAAAGAGTACTGAACTGTTATTTTTTATCAATAAATATTTTTTTATTCTTTGTTGATCAGTTTTTTTTAGTTTTTATTTATCAGTATTTTATTTTTTGTTTATCAGTTTTTAGTTTTTATTTTTATTTTTTTATTTATCAGTATTTTTATTATTTTTTTATTTTACTTCATATTAGATGCATTGCAACAGCTTGTGCAAAGAATCGATAGTTAACGAAGTTAGAAACAAAGAAAAGAGTACTGAACTGTTATATAATGTCAGATCTCCAATATGATAGTGAAAGATGGACAATCTTATAGAGGAGACAATAGAAATATGGTTCTACAGAAGGGTGCTGAGAATACTATGGATAGACCACGTGAGCAACGACAAAGAACTGGAGGCAATGACAATAATAAGTGCACATGCTTAAATCAGGAAGGGATAGCTGAAATTTATAGGGCCAATAATGAGGATAAAGGGCTTGGAAAATTTGATACTCACAGGAGATTGAATGCAAGAGGTATAGAGGAAAAAAGACAAACTACTTAGTGAGGTTATGTAAATAGATGGTAGAGCAAAGTTTACGAGATATAACAAAAACAAAGGACAGGAAATTGTGGAGAGTCAAACTTGACTTGAAGAGACATGGCACATAAAGAAGAAAAATCTGTGGAGAGTTAGGATTATCTATGTACTGAAGAGACATGGCGTTTTAAAAAAATGTATATTTTGTGTGTTTTACCCAATCTTGTCATCTTGCCGCCAGTGAAGCGAGGGGAATCGAAGTCGTAATGATATCTATCTATCTATCTATCTATCTATCTATCTATCTATCTATCTATCCGAGCCAATTCATATCTATCTATCTACCCGAGTCTATATCTATCTATCTATCTATCTATCTATCTATCTATCTATCTATCTATCCGAGCCTATTCATATCTATCTATCTATCTATCTATCTATCTATCTATCTATCTATCTATCTATCTATCTATCCGAGCCTATTCATATCTATCTATCTATCTGTCTATCTGAGCGTAGTCATATCTATCTATCTATCTATCTATCTATCTATCTATCTATCTATCTATCTATCTATCTATCTATCTGAGCCTATTCATATCTATCTATCTATCTATCTAACCGAGCCTATTCATATCTATCTATCTATCTATCCGAGCCTATTCATATCTATCTATCTATCTATCTATCTATCTATCTATCTATCTATCTATCCGAGCCTATTCATATCTATCTATCTATCTGTCTATCTGAGCGTATTCATATCTATCTATCTATCTATCTATCTATCTATCTATCTATCTATCTATCTATCTGAGCCTATTCATATCTATCTATCTATCTATCTATCTATCTAACTATCTATCTATCTATCTATCTATCTAAATAAATAGTACTGACAATCGGTTTTGTATCTATGTAAGCTCTAAATCGTTCAAACGCTGCTTATTAACGAGTGGTGTCATATGTTCCCCAGAGATAATCCCTACAATGGACACACTTTAAAAAGAAACAGGAATGTTTATATCATGAGATCCATCTACATTCGCTCGTAACTGGAAAATGGCAAAAAACGATTTAATTATGCAATTCTAATTATATAACACGACCCCTACTTTATGTTGATTTTTTTTTCAGATGAATAAAATATATCTATTCTTTTACATCGGAGTTTAAATCTACAAAGGTTAAATAACAATGAAAGGTTTTCGTCAAGTTTTTTGTGTTTTAGTGTGTTTAGGGTTATAGAGAAGAGTATAAAATCCCACATCTAATAACCACTGGATTGATGTCGAACAACATTTGGGCAAGTTTTACTTCTACAAATTCTATGATAACTTTGAGTTATAAGATATATTTTAACTCTCACATGTATTCATATTTGCCTGAATGATTAACCCTCAAAGCAAATTGCAAACACTAATATTTACATCAGAATTTACGCTGCCTTAAAAAAAAAAGGCAATGCAGAAAATAACGTGCGGATCTTTGCCCAAACTTATCTGTATTTTGCTTCACTGTACAACATCAGTTCCGACGAATCAGCCTGAAATTCACGACAAACAATCAGCTTTGGCGTCATGCTATCACCTCCCCAGATCAACAGGGGCTCGACTCACACGGAGAGCAGATCATCAGGTTTCCATCGGGTTTCTCTGTCATTCAACTGCCAAATTTTCTGGTAGAGAATGATAGCAAATTAAAGCAATATAGTGAAAGCAATCATCACCGAGATCTCATTATGTATTGTTTGTAACAGTTGAAAACTTTGGGAAACAGAGATTCTGGTTAAGTGTAATTGCTTATGAACCTTGCTATAGAAGTTAGCAGTATGATGGGCACCTGGCTAGAATCAAGCCACTATCCCAAGGCTTTTCCTTTCAGTTAAGGCAAAAATCTATCAATTTGACTCGATTTATTTGCTTCCGAGCTTCATATAAAATGTTACTAACTCTCTCTTTATCTTCCTCTCTATATATTTCTCTTCTCGTCTTCCTCTCTCTGTATATGTCTCTATTTATCTTCCTATGTCTCTTTCCTGTTTATTTCTATTTTCTTTTCTTTCGATTTCTCTCTCTCTCTCTCTCTCTCTCTCTCTCTCCTCCCTTTTTCTCGACCGCTTTCCCTTTTCCTCTCTCCTTAAACTGCTTCATTACTGCTTTTATATGTGTTATGGGCCGGTTCCTTGTACCACGGCGATAGTCCAAGGTAGAACCAATAAAGAACTCGAACACGTATATGGAATAACACATATATATTACAAACAAGAATATATACAGAGAAGTAGAAGTGTTAGTACGAACAATCAGGTTTAGTAGAGAGAACAATGTAGTCTCGACCAGTATCACTATTCCAATGTTTTGCAGTAATCGTATGAACGCGACTCTGTTTCGGACTGCCTCTGACTCGACTCTTGACTCGACTTGAACTACTGATCCCATAACAATATCGTATTCCTCTCTCTGTATATGTCTCTCTTTATCTTCCTATATCTCTTTCCTGTTTATTTCTATTTTTTATTTCGATCTCTCTCTCTCTCCTCCCTTTCGTTTATCTCGGCCGCTTTCCTTTTTTCTCTCTCCTTAAACTGCTTCATTTCTCCTTTTATATCTCCTAGTGTATTTTTCTTTCCTCCTTTTTTCTCTCTTATTTCCTTTTCCTCTTTCTTTCAATATTATTTGTTTTTTTTTTACTATTCGTCTCTTTCTCATTCCATTTTTTTTCTTCTTTCCTTTTTTATTTGCTTCATATAAAATTTTTCTCTTTAATTTATTTGTCTTCCTGTCTCTATTCAATTCTCTCTTTATCCCATACGCCCCCTCCCTATTTTTTAGTCTCATTCCCTTTCGAGCGCTCTTTTTTTCTCTTCTAGACTCGGCCTTCTCTTTCTTTCCACTTTTTCTCTCTGCCTCTCACCAGCCCTTTCTTCGCCCTACAGCCTCATTTGTGTTTCGTTTAAATGATTTCGCTTTTAATTCTACAAATCTTCTCCCACTCCCTCCCACTCCCTCTCTCTCTCCCTCTCTCTCCCTCTCTCTCCCTCTCCATCTCTCTCCCTATGTCCTCTCTCTCTCTCTCTCTCTCTCTCTGCTTTTCCTGCTTCTATCTTCATATGCTTTCAGTTTCTCACTATCATCAATTTCCCAAGTAGTTTCATACTTATAAAATCGGAAACACCCAAACTAAATGTGCAACGTCTTACCAAATATCGGAAAAGGAATCGCTGACCCGAGAACAACTTCCAATTTTCCATTTATATAAATTCTCTCGGGGAAAGGCATGAATCCAACCTCCTTATATGGTACCAGCAACTCGTTACTTATACCACATAAGCCCGTCTTATGAAATACCATACAATTTAAGAACAGGCAAAATCATTCTATTTTATTATCTTTGAATTTTGTTATATTATCGTTCACTCAATGCAAAGCCCAAAATCCACTCAAGCTAGAGGGTTAGGGAATGAGGTCGTAAGAGGAGAAAGTAAAAAGATAAAAACTACACTGTCAACAAAAAAAAAATTGAAATGTTGTCGAGATACAAACATCTTTCTGAACTAATTTGAGGGCGCTGAAAATATTTTTGGAAAAAAAACATGTCTTTCAATTGTTTTCTGTATATATATTATTAACCGATGGCAATATTTCTCAAAATAAAATCACAAGAACTCATTTCGCTCATTGGTATAGACTGTTCTAGTTCCAGGTGTCATGTTTAATAGTTGTCAGTTATCAGTTATCTCCTGTTAATTTCCCTCAGAAAGTTCTGGATAAATGCATTAGTTAGATCCAGTGACAGGACCCAAAGAGTGTGAGTTCAATACCCGGTTAAGGCAGTGGAGAACTTGGAGAGGAAATTAACAGGAGATAACTGACATCCATTAAACAAGGCACATGGAACTAGGACAGTCTACCTCTGTGAGCGAAATAAAGGGTTCAGTTCGACATTTGAACCACATGAAGAAGGCCGGAGCGTACAACGGCCGAATCGTTGTAATAAATATGGCGACAAAGATGAGGACAATAGTCCGAATAATGTAAATAATGTACATAATACCACATCTCAGAAATATAGACAGATACTGAAAGGCCGAAACATTGTAATAAATATGGTTACAAAGATGAGTACAATAGTCCGAATAATGTAAATAATGTACATAATACTTCATCTCAGAAATATAGACAGATACTGAAAGGCCGAAACGTTGTAATAAATATGGTGACAAAGATGAGGACAATAGTCCGAATAATGTAAATAGTGTATATAATACCTCATCTCAAAAATATAGACAGATACTGAAAGGCCGAAACATTGTAATAAATATGGCTACAAAGATGAGTACAATAGTCCGAATAATGTAAATAATGTACATAATACTTCATCTCAGAAATATAGACAGATACTGAAAGGCCGAAACGTTGTAATAAATATGGTGACAAAGATGAGGACAATAGTTCGAATAATGTAAATAGTGTACATAATACCTCATCTCAAAAATATAGACAGATACTGAAAGGCCGAAACGTTGTAATAAATATGGCGGCATAGATGAGGACAATAGTCCGAATAATGTAAATAATATGGATGTACATATAAAATACTGGTTAAATAGTAGACCAGATTCGATCTACCCCACCAGAGAGTCAAGAAGAAGGGGGATGTTCTGAACTCAGACCCATAGAAGAAGGCAATAGGAATCGACCTGCCTATCTTTCCAAAGAAACCGTCGAAATTCACAAGAAGTGAGAACTGATTGCTTATATATGCGTACTTCTAAAATCAGCGATACCTAATCTATTTCTGCTTTACGAAACGATCGTTTGTCGCAAAATGTTACAGATGTCCTTGATCTTTGTCTGTTCTTGACGACGTGATTAGTGCTTGTCAATATCTGGGTTGAGATTTTCAAGCGAGCGGTGGACAGGACTGACAAGACGAAGTAGAGACAGAGATGTCTTCTTTTTTTTTTGCTGCTTATTGCTTTCGTTACCTTGCAGAAGTTCTTATCAGTCGCGCTAAGAAGTATCGTTATCTGTCGTGGCTTCACGTTTGACAGTAATTGGAGTCATCATTTGAAAATGTACTAGCATACTAACCGTCAAAAATGACAACGTCATTTATGTATAAATCGGCACTTCTGTCAATAATCTGTACAAAATGTTATAAAGTTTAATGTACCTTGTTTTAAGTATAGCTGAAATAACTAATGAGATTTCAGGCATTATTGTAAATCAGTTGGCAAATGTTTTCCGTGAACTGCAAAATCGTATTACCCTTAGTATGGCTAATGATGGAGGACATGTGGAAACTTAAATAAAATTTCAATAAAGCCTTAAAAAATATAGATTTACTTCTTTCTAATCCTTTTTACAAATTATTTCTATCGCAAATACAAATAAAGTTATAAATTTTTTAAAGTGCACACGAACTTTATGGACACCCTGTGTGCGCGCGCGCGCGCGTGTGTGTGTGTGTGTGTGTGTGTGTGTGTGTGTGTGTGTGTGTGTGTGTGTGTGTGTGTGTGTGTGCAAACCAAACCCAAAAGTGGTCACAGCATGATGACTTTTCCTATGAAATAAAAGAGTTGGAATCATTAAAAGATAACCTTGCATAATTCTACATTTAAGGGTCGTCCTGGGTAAGACGATAAACTACACCCGCGTTCTGGGTATGACGATAAGCTACACCCGCGTCCTGGGTATGACGATAAACTACACCCGCGTCCTGAGTAAAACGATAAACTACATCCGCGTCCTGGGCATGATGATAAACTACTTTCAACAGCAAGGCCTCTGATTCGGAGGTTTTCAGGAGCGTGGAACCACCTCTTAATTGCTAGTGTTCCCAGGTCTACACTGACCTTGGGTGGTAGAACATGTTAGGATCTCATCTATGGGCAAATACTTAACCCCCAAACTGGGGTCAAAACACCATGAAAGTGTAAAAATAGGTTTTAATACCAGAAATACTTAGTAAAAAAATATGATTACTAGAAATACATTTTTGGAAAAAAAAACTACCAGCGATACATATTTGAAGGAAAAATGTTTCTAGAAATAGATTTTTTGAAGGAAAAGATGTTACCAGAAATAAATTTTTGGAAAAAAGATCTACCAGCGATACATATTTGATGGAAAAATGTTTCTAGAAATAGATTTTTTGAAGGAAAAAATATTACCAGAAATAAATTTTTGGAAAAAAAAATCTACCAGCGATACATATTTGAAGGAAAAATGTTTCTAGAAATAGATTTTTTGAAGGAAAAAATATTACCAGAAATAAATTTTTGGAAAAAAATCTACCAGCGATACATATTTGATGGAAAAATGTTTCTAGAAATAGATTTTTTGAAGGAAAAAATATTACCAGAAATAAATTTTTGGAAAAAAAAACTACCAGCGATACATATTTGAAGAAAAAATGTTTCTAGAAATAGATTTTTTGAAGGAAAAAATATTACCAGAAATAAATGTTTGGAAAAAAAATTACAACGTTAAAAATTTTGTCGGCATTAAGTACCATATTGAGGTTGATATGCTGTAAAACAAAATCAAAACCAAAACAAACAAATATTTTGGGGTTTATAAATAAAACCAAATACAATTTCACACACCCAAGTGTTAAGCTTATCCTCATGCTAAAGAAAACTCTTCATCACACATTTTCACCAGACGGTGAAAAACGTAAGTAGTTATATTTTCAAAAAGGCGTAACTGGGGCAGTGTGTCTTTTCGAAACATATCTCACCTAAATGGTTTCTTGGAATATTCCGAGCATTTATAAAAAGTTCGCCAGAACCCCATTCCCCTCTTCGTCTCCGTACAGTTTCTTGCTTTCTTTTTACGATTTATAGTGACGCGAAGACAGCAAATGGCGGCTTTTCTCCATGAATAACATGACGAATCCGTAACTGATAAGAGGCACCGTCGTAATCGTTTCTT